GTTCTCTACCATGTCTGAAACCACGGTACCATTGGAAGAACTACCATATTCTTCATTAAGCAAAATGTAGGATGATCTTCTCCAAAGACTGAGGATGTTTTAAAGGGAAACCAGGGATTAAAATATAAACACACGTACACATACACATACACACATGTCATAGATATGTGAGTGGATTTGGAGCTCACACTTAAAGGCAGCGCTCCTCTATGGAACATGGGCTCTTATGACTTGGCCCCGTTCGCTACCTGTCCCTCGAGAAGGGTTCACTGGTCACGTGGGTGCTACTGGGAACTAGGTGGTGAAGAGAGAAGGGGCTTATGTCAGGACTAAAGGGGAAAGAAGAATTAAAGACCCCGGCCCCCAGGGAATACAGACCAGTGATGGGAAAGGCCTTCACATCTGACAGAGGGCCATGGAGGGGTGCCTGCTGCTTCTGAACCTCGGAGGAAATAAAACACCTTGTCATTTGAAAGCCACCTAGATCCACCATGAAAGAGTTCCAGATTTCCTGGGGAGAGCTTTGCCTCAGATTGGGCATTGTCTTTGTTGCATTGTGTCCTTGTGGATGGGCAGTTTGGTGTTGCTCTTTGATTGTGTTTGTTTCCTTTTTATGAACGCCAGGATCGGTGAGATGAATAGTGTCTAAGGCTTTTTCAACAACAATGATCAGGCGAGCACTCCCTTGACGCGCAGACGTGGAAAATGGAGCTCTATGTTAGTATTAGGCCTCTTCACCTCGGAGGATCTTGAGCGCAGACTACAACTCGCATTTCAGTGGACAGGCAGTCCAGGGAGTGGTTGCCATCTCCCTAGGGACTGTGAGTAAGCACGAATAGACCACCCTCAGCAAACCAGTGGGACTCAAGCGTCCTGCCCCTGACGTCGGGCGTCCTCAAATCTGCGCTACGCTTTTTGGCTCCTGCAGGCTCCCCGATAGGCTTCTGCGAAGGTGACGTTAGCAGACTTCCATTTTGGAAACGCCCCTGGAAGCGAAGGTTTCGGCGTTGGGGAGCTG